AGGGAGAGGCCAAAGCAGGGGTCACCCCTGAAGCTAAGTCTGGCAGCTGCTCCACACACCCTCTATGCACCCAGGGGTCAAACCATCAGTGAAGTCTAGGCTGAGAGGCTGGACTCAGCCACCAGGGTGCAGTCGTCCTGGGCCCTGAGGATCCACCAACTCCTGTACCTTCCCCACTAGGCCCACTCTGAACAACTAGGCAGGGGACATAGGCCCACAGCTTCTTCTTGGCCCTGGGCAGAGACAGCAGCAGTTGGTAGCCATCAGGCTCGGCGGTAGTCTTACGAAGGACAAGAGACCCATACTGCACAATGAGCTCAAACTAGATTCCAGCCACTTTGCCTCAGCTGGTTCCTATGACCTGCCATCCTAGGCCTCAAGAGCCTCATCCTCTACCCATAGGGCAGGGAAGCCCAGTGAGCAGCAGCCTCTTTGAGCTGTTGGGGAGAGAGCCCCTGCCCAAGTCCAAGACTATACCCTGGGCAAAGAGGCACTGCCCACACTGACTCAGTACTTTTCTACCTACTTCTCAGGCCCTCCCACAAAACTACCTCATACCCACTTGCTATGTCCCATTTTTCTCGCCTAGGACTCACCTCACATCATGGATTACAACCCACTCAGGACCCTTTCTTTCTCTTTCAGACAGAAGCTTTCTTTCCCCCCATAACTAGAACAGTTCTGCCTGCTGACCCCTTTTCACCCACCCCCAATAATCAGAACCTGGGTTGTTGGGCAGATCATTCATGCCTGTAATCTCAGGAGCCTGAGTTAGGAAGATCTTAGATTCAAGGCCAGCCTGGGCAATGTACAAAGACTTTGTCTCAAAGTAAACTTTTCAAAGGACTTAGGTTGTAGCTCAGTGGTAGAGCACTCACCTACCAGGTGCAAACACCAGAAAAGAAAGAAGGAAGGAAGGAAGGAAGGAAGGAAGGAAGGAAGGAAGGAAGGAAGGAAAGAAAGAAAGAAGGAAGGAAGAGAAAGCAAGCAAGTTGGTGTAGTGCAAGCCACTTTCTTTAGATAACCCACTCCAATCCCAGCCCTCATACTTGATCATCTCCTGTAGCATTGAGGTCGTTATAGGCAACTAAATCAGATAAAATATAGGCAGTCAGATAGGACTGGGCCCTTGAAAGAGCCAGTGCAGAATATGAGATAACTTACACCTGTGGGAGAGACAGGCATCTCAGCTACAGGCCAGACTCAACATAAAAGATAAAACAAATGTACCCACATACTGCTAAGGATAAACTTCAGAGACTGATACTCTAACTAGGCATACATCATCTTGAGAAAGCCACAAAGAGGGCCGGCGAAATAGCTCAGCAGACTAAGGGCCTACTGGTTCAACCCCTGGAACTACATGCTACAAGAGTTCCACCCCCACATGAGCTGAGCGGGCCCCCAAAAGCAGGTGTGGTGGTGCATGCCTATATTTACAGCACTGGAGAGGCTGAAAACAGGGATCACTATGAATCCAAGCTTCATAGCGAGAACCTGTCCCAAATAATTAAAAAAAAAAAAAAAAAAGAAAGAAAGCCAAAAAGAGTCATTAACCCAACCCCCCACAGTAAAAGCCCCTGTTCTATATTCTTGCCCCCTTGCTATATGAGTTGCTTCCTTGATTTTTAATCCATTTTATCTGAACAATTATACTCATAATCTCATTGTTTGACTATAGTGTTGTCCTACCTCATACCCACTTGCTATGTCCCATTTTTCTCACCTTGGACTCACCCCACATCATGGATTACAACCCACTCAGGACCCTTTCTTTCTCTTTCAGACAGAAGCTTTCTTTCCCCCCAATAAATACATTCTTCTCTTAACCTCTGTTGTTCCTAAAATTCATTCTTTGATTTTTAGAGAACATGAACTCATACCAGATATCTAGCAGTTTGACAGTTTCTTTTCCTTTACCTGGTCATCTCCTATAGAATTGAGGTCAGTGTTTGTACTACAACTGTTTCTGGATTGCTGTCTGGTGGCATGCAGACCAAAGGGAAGTTCAGGAATCATGGCTTCCAGTACAAGCTCTCAGACATACAAACCAACTGTACACATTGGGTGGATGAGCTGATAGATGGGTGGATGGGTGGGTGGATGGTGGATAGACAGGTGAATGGAGGGGTAGGTGAATGGATGATAATGGATGACAAATGATCAGTGGTTAAATGGACGGATGGGAGTGGATAGATGAATTGATGATGGTTGGGATGATGATGGGTAGGTGGGTGGATAGGTGATAGATGGACTGATGGGTGGAATATGATGCGTGGCTAGATGAGTGGATGATGGATGGGTGGATGGGTGGGCAGATGTATGTGGGTGGGTGGATAGATGATGGAAAAATGGATTATGGGTAGATAAATTGATGATGAATGGATGGTTGGATGGATAGACGAGTGGTAGGAGGGTAGATGGCCCTACGATTGTTCGGTGATGCCCACTGTTCCATCTACTGATCCTGGAAATAAGATTCTCCTGTCTCAGAGGAATTGAGATTCAGAAAGCTGTATACTGTGGAGAGTTCCAGGAAGGCTGGGATCAGACACTTGTTCCTTCTCTTTGGACCTCATTTTCCCACCCATATATGATGAGAATATTGAACTAGATTTTTTTTTCCTGCTCAAATCTAGAACCTGCTGGAGTATAGGAGAAACTCCACCAGTTCAGTTTAAGACTCTGGAAGAGTTTCCACAAAGATGAAAAGGAAGAAAGAGGAGAAAAAGGTAAAGTGAGAGAGAAAAACTATTACCATGTATCAAACTAAAAATGTATTTAACATGCAAGATTATCTACATGCATAATTTGTTTTTTCAAATAGTCATTTTGAACACATTGGGTTGAAGATCACACCAGGTCACTGACCTTCTCAGACCAAAAAGCTACAACTCTTGTTGCACAGGTCCTGCTTTACCGTGGTCTTAACCATCCAATAGAAAAGTATGAAGACGAAATATAGGAAGTAAAGCCATGCTGTTATGTTGAGCTGTGGGGGACTCAGGTCAATAATTTCTGACACTGCCAGTTAAACAGAAGACCCAATGCTATTATGGGCTACTGGACTCCTTTAGAATATTTTGCTGAGTTTACACACCTATAATATTCAATAACGGAACTTAGAAAAAATAGGGTATACCGATGAATGTCCATTTTGTATCTGTGTATTCAAAGTGGTTAGGATAGATATATAGTTACATTCTCTTAATGAATAGAATGATTTGTTCTAATGGTGTTTGTAAATAGGATCACAAGTCTGCATCTTGTACAGCAATTAACCACTAAGAAGAATATATGCAGTGTATTATTTGTTGAAACTACTTCTGATTTGATTTGAAACTGTCTCATTGCTATCTGTTTATCAATAAAATTTTGAAAAAAAAAAAAAGATCACACCAGGTAAGAAGTGAGCACTCCCTAATATGGGGGAGAGACCTCCAGTGGGACTTTCTAGGACTGAGGAGGGTACAGCAAATGCTGTGGCCACCTTCTCTCTCTTTAGCCAGAGCTCCTCCATGTCTGCTTTATATATTGATCTTCTGAACCCAATACCCTTTCTGGATAAAAGATTTCTGTGGCTTTTTTTTTTCTGAAGCTACTAACTAGTGAAGAGACATAAAAGGCCCAGGAGGAGGTGATTTACCCCAAAGTAACACAAGGGGATCACGGTGGCCTTGATCCAGGTATCAGGAACCCAGTGGCATCCGCCAGGGTCTGGGAACACACGGATGCAGCTGTCTCCACGGGGCAGGAGGGGCTGTGTACTCTGGCTCAATCCCAGCAGCCGAGGGAAGTTGCTGATGTCTTTGAACAGCATTCTTCTGGGACAGAACAGATGGACGGCCCAGGCGAACTGAGAACCAGAAAAGCGCTAGGAGGGCAAAGACCCAGAACAAGGGTCTCAGCTGGCTTCCAGCCAATTCCCTGCTCCACAGGGTGAAAGCCTTCCTAAAACAACCTTGGAGAGTAATTTAATCATCCTTTGATGACTGTCTCACGCTGCCTCTGGTCACCAAAGAACATCAATAACCAGCCCAGGTGGTAAGCACGCGGTGGTCCGGGGGGATCTTTGGACACTGGGGGAGGGGAGTGGAGCTGGATGTCACTGTAGTGGAGGGACACCAGAGAACAATGGGGATGCCCCTAGAACATGAGTGGGCAGAGTGACCAACTATAACAGGGAACAGCAGCTGACTTTCCCAAGGAGGGTGAGAATCCAGGCCCTGAGGGTGGACGCCACCCCATCCTGCCCCCTGAGGCCCTGGGGGGTCCTCACTTAAGATGCAGGCAGGAGAGCACTACTGTGGGGGTTATGTGAGCCTAATGCCAGTCCCTGCCATGCCACAGAGCTCTGCCCATCAGCTGAGACCAGGATTTCTCTTGATTTGGTCCTGCCTGTGAATGCTTCCTGCACTTTGCTCAAGAAATAATGTTATATAATTAAAACCATGTCCAAAAAAATAAAACAGAGGCTGAGTGCCCCATTTCCCCACACACCCCCACCTCCAGCTAGGCGATCCTGGCCACAGTACTGTCAGAGGCCTGAGGACAGCACCAGACACCCTCTATCTGGGGCATAAGCCTCTACATCACCTAAAGATGACAGGAAGAGACAGAGGGTGGCCCACACTGCCCCTCAAGGTCAAGCTCCCTCTTCTGCCACTAAACGCAGTCCACAACCCCAACACCCCACCCCACCTCAGTCCCAGGATGTCAGCCCAAGAGAATCCTGGATACTTAGGGCTCTGAGCAGATCCAAGGCAAACCTACCAGGCCACCAGCACCCAGCCAGCCAGTAGCCCCCTGCCTCAACCCCTCCCCACCCCCACCCCCCCGCCTGCGCTGAGGCAGCCCTTTCTTCAGACCTAGGCCTGTTGGGTCCACAGCACTCTCCCTGCTGGATGTTAATCCTGCAAAGAAAGTCAAACATTAGCCCAGGAAGCAGCTTATGCCTTATATAAGCCCCCCTGGGGAGGCCCAAACACAGCTTTGTTGGAGCCAAGCCGTCCAACCCAGCAGCTGCCGGACCCTAGGACAGAGAGAGGGCTCCAGTGACGGCTCTACTACCCCACTAAAGAAGACAGGTGAGAAAGGGTAAGGGCCCCCAAGCCCATAGCTAGGAACCCAGTGCCAGGCCCTGCTTGCTTCTTATGGTCAGCCCAGCCCTGGATGCCCTAAGGCCGGCTTGGGCTCCACTGTGCCTTGGTGCAGGAACTTAGGACACAGGAACAGCTGAAGCCAGAGCCTCTGGGCTCCGGGAGCCTTCCCAGAAGGCAGCAGGGTCCTTTCCCCACTGCACCTGCCTGGAGCCATCAGGGATGTCCCAGCCACCTGGGGAAACCTGGGCCTTTTCCACCTACACAGCCCCTTGGCCCTGCCATCCCATGCAGAAGCAGATGTGACCAACCTAGCTGAGCACAAGTGCACAGGAGCGCACATGCACACACACACACACTCACGTGCATGCGTGCACAAATACGCGCATATACTGGTGTCTGCATACTTGCAGACACTCTCCTGCTACACACCCCAGGTAGCTGGGCCCAGCCTGCGTACCCACAGGTTAGTCTATGGACACCACCCCCCAAGCCCACAACTTCACATGCATCACATGTACACACACACTCCTCTCCCTGGCAGATCCCCCAGCAGCTCCAGCTCCTCGTCTGCAGTGCCATGACCTTCTCGGACCTCCTGGAGCGTGTGGGCAACATGGGCCCTTTCCAGTACCTGAACATTGTCCTGCTTGCCCTCCCGATCCTTGGCATGGCCAACCACAACCTGCTGCAGATCTTCACGGCCACCACACCTGCCCACCACTGCCGCCCACCCCCCAATGCCTCTGAGGGGCCCTGGATGCCCCTCCTGGGCCCCAATGGGAAGCCTGAGAAGTGCCTTCGCTTGGCGCACATGCCCAACACCAGCACGCCCAACGCCACCGAGGTGGTCACCGAGCCCTGCCTGGACGGCTGGGTCTACAATACCACCAGGGACACCATTGTAACAGAGGTATGACCTGGATCCCCATACCCTCACCTCAGGGACTCCACATACCTGCACCACTCATAGCCTCCAGGCTGAGGACAGGGCTGCCTGGGCGGAGGCAGGTCAGGCGTGATTCACACACCACAGCCTCTGGTCTTCACAGGCAGCCGAAGGCTGCTGTAAACTGCTCAGGGGCCAGCCTAGCATGGGGCCCTGTCCCTGTCCACAGCATCGAACGCTACTCTGAGTCATGATGGCACCACACAGAAGCACAGTTATATATCTAAAACCCTCTGTATTGTAACCTCCTGCTGGTCAGGAGTGCGTGGGTGGACAGCGGAGGGGCCTCCCCAGAGAAGTAACCCTGCAGCGTGAGCAAGTGTTGAGGAAGTTTTCCTGGTCACAAGGGAAAAGAGGAAAATTCCATGGTGGGCAAGGCTATGGAGGAGGCACCTGGAAGAGAGGCCCGGGGAGAGAGGAGGGACCCTGGAGCACCCTGTACACCATGGCCTCACTGACCCTGTCACCTGCCACACCCCACAGATGGCAGGGTCGAGTCCTCTGCTCTGCGAGCTGGCAGGCCAGCAGGGGCTGCAAAGGAAGATGGACCTGGGAAGCTGTGCTTTCTGAGGACCCACAGGCTGCCAGGTGGCCATCCGGGTCTTGTTGAGTCTGTCTCCATCTCCCGTTGCAGGGGCTCAGGACTGGACTATCTGGTGCCACAGGGCTGGTCAGCTGGGACTGGAGTTTACAGCTCTGTCCACTAAGACACATAGGGATGTGTTAATGGCAGTTTGAGAGAAAAACCAAATCTACAGGGTTCTGGTGGCTTCCTGGAGCAGGAGGCATAGGGCAGAGATGGGTGTGCCCACTTCCCAGGTACATGAGCCCTGAGGGTCCGGGTCTTGCCCCACAAGGCCTCACCCAGCCTACACAGAAAGATGATCATTGACAGCAGGCAAATGAGGAAACTGAGGCTCAGCCCATTCCCTGACTTCTTTGGCAGGCGATGAGGCTTGAATCCAGGCCTGGCTCTACTCAAAGCCTTGCTATTCTGCATTCAGCAAGGATTCACTTCTGCACAGAGCACTCATGAGGCACGAGGCATAAGCATGGATCTGGATGCGTCACACACAAGAATGCTGTGATCTGGGCACTCTGTGGGCCATCAGCATTCTGACCCGTCTTCCTCACAGGAACTGGGACAGAGAGGTCAAGCAGCTTGCTGTTAGCAAGGAGCAATCAGGATCCAAACACCATGCTCCCGTGGGACACCCAGGGCTCCTGCACCTGGGGCCCCATTTTCTCCCTCCAATCCACCCAAATGCACCTCATATCCAAACATGAATTCACACAATGTGTGGTACTGTGGCCAGTGGCCCAGGAGCCTGAGAATGTGAGCGGCCTTGGGCAGACACAGACCCAGCCCAGCCAGGGTAGTGGGAGGTATTCAGGCTACTCCTAAGCCAAGAATTTCCAGCTGCCTAGCTGCCTGCTGCCCCAGCACCTGGAATAAAGCAGCAGGGTGCGGCTCTGGGAAGTAGATATTTGTGCAGGGAGCAAGTGTGGCAACCAAGCTTTGGGTCAGAAGGGCAGGTGTCCCAAGGGTCACAGGGGCTGGGCAGCCACAGTATGTGGCAAGGTCAGATGGGAAATCACAGAGACACAGAGGACTCCAGGCAGAAAGGCCGCAGGTGCCAGGAGCGGGCAGTTGATGTGAAGTAGACATGAGGCTGGAGAGGCCTGCTTGGGCACAAGGCAAACCTGTAACCTCTGTAATGAGGCACTGCAAAGCCACTGAGTGCAATGGTGGAGGGCTGGAGTGTGTCAGTGGTTCAGGTCTCCTTGATCTCAGGGTCACTGCTAGCTGCAAAGTGGAGGTCAGCTGCAGGGAGCTTTATTCTGACAGCGGGTGACCTGGTAGCAAGTCGCCAAATGCAAGGCAGAGCCAACACAGACAGACATCTGAAAGGCTGAGCCAGCAGAGCTGAAGGGACCTGGTGAGGGGGCAAGAGACAGGGAGAGCTCAGAGGTAGGCTTGGGGTGGAGTGTCCCACCCCAAGAGCCCTTGCCATGTACCTGGGAAGACAAAAAGGCAGGGTGAAGCCCACATGATAGGGCTCAGTGCAGAGACAAAGCCAAGAGATGTGATGCAACCCAGCACCACAAGCACTGTCAGTGCCCATGCCAGGCCCTGAGTGCTGCACATGGGAGCTGTGTTCCAGTCCTGTGTTCACAGGAAAGGAAACTGAGGCACTGCTCCTGCCCACAGCCTAGAATCTCTAAATGGTGTCATGGGACATCAGCCTGGTGCCCACATCCCCTAAGGCCTCAGAGCTCCGGCAAGACCTCCCTGTGCCCTGCATGCAGGCACAGCCCCTCCAGGTCTCATCAGCACAGGGTGGCACCGGCCTCTCCTCTGTGAGCCAGGGAGACCCAAGCATGAGCCAGGTGAGTGCTGCATGAAGACGCACTCCCTCACCTAGTGAGACCTGCAGGTTGCCCCAGTCTATGCAGGACACAGACATCAGTGGCCATGGGGAACAGTTGCCCTCCCAGTCACCCCAAGCTGGGCTCCCCAGACCCACATGGGGCCTCCTAGCAGCCAGGTTTCTGTCCCCCTGTTCTGGCCACACCTCAGTCTTTGCCCAGCATCAGGCTGTGTGAATCAGCACCCTGGACCCCTGGCACTGTGTCCTTCTCCACAGCAGGTCCTACAGAGCATTAGTGCCAGGCCCAAGGGGACAGGAGTAGAGCCACTGGACCTCCCTGGGGGATCTGACTGAGGCAGGGACTGACTGCATGTAACCACTCTGGTAGGGAGGACAGCGAAAAGGAAGCAGGAAGATAGGAAGGCAGGCTCCTGGCAATGTGCGTGCTCTGTCCAGGTCTAGGAAAATGGAAAATGTGGGTGGTAGGCTGGAGTGAGACAGCTAGAGCTCACATCCTGACCCTCCCGGTCACCAGGGACATCACAAAATCCAGAGCTTGGCTTTCTTTATCAATAAAAGGGGCTACAAGAGGGCTGGTCAAATAGCTCAGCAGATTAAAGCACCTGCAAGCAGGCACAGGGACCGGGGTTCGATCCCCAGCCTGCCATGCTGGCCCCGCCCCAGGGGCTCACTGAGATGGCAATTGAGACCAGGCATGGTGGCACACGCCTGTAATCCCAGCACTTGGGGGGCTGTAAGCAGGCAGATCACTATGAGTCCAATCTAGTAGTGAGACCCTGAACATCCTGTAGACCCTTCCCTAAAAATAAAAGGTGGGGGGGCTACAAGAGCAGGTGTGAAGATCAAAGGACACAAAACAACAGCAGTTGGTGGCCACAGGTGCTACATACTGGCTGGCAGTCTGAGAACAGAAAGCAGGGTCCTCACTGGCAATCGGGGACTCACTGAAAGGGGAGCAACATCGCAGCCCTCCTTGCTCCCCATGCCTGGCCCTTTCTGGCCTGGCCATCCACATCATGGGGCAACCATCAGGAACCAGGGGGTGAGCTTGACATTGGGCCCAGCCCAGGACAGCAGCGTCCCCCTCCCTCTGATGTCCTCAGTTCTCCTGGCAGAGAGACCACACATTCCTTTCTCGTGGAGCAGAAACCAGGTCAGGATTTGGCAGTGGAGCTTTGCGAAGCCGTTAGGAGGACACAAAGGCCTTTCTTTCAGCCAGGGAACATGGGGGCTGGGTGCCAGGCCCTGGGATCCTAGAGACCACAGACCCCATCCTCTGGGTGCCTCTGGGGCCCCTGAAGCCTATGTGCACACATACTGCACATGTGCATGCATACACACGTACACACAGACATGCACACATACACATGTGCATACATGCACACAGCTGGAATGCACACACATGCACACACACATCCACACATTTCTACACACCTGCATGCACATATACGTGCACACACCTGTATGCCCAGGCACACACATACACACATGCATGCATGTGCATGCACATGTGCTCACATACACTCAATGCACATATGCACAAGCACATACATGTGTAATGAGCACACAGTCACATGCACACACACACTTCTGCACACAAGTACACAAGTGTCCCTGGAGGACCTGGTGGCTGCTGGAGCAAAGCCAGCTCTGCCCTGTGGGGTCTAACCCACCCCAAGCTGGCAGCCCAGGCCCTGCCCCTCCTCCTCCTGGTTCTAACTCCCAGGAAAGACCAAGAGCCACACTCACTGCCTTCCTAGCAGCCAACCTAATGACCCAGTCACCCATACACTGGTGGGTTCTTTTGTGGTTTTTTGGTTTTGTTTTGGGGGCTTTTTGTCTTTTTGAGACAGGGTCTTGCTATGCAGGTCAGGCTAGCCTTGAGCTCACTTTACAGATATATGCCACTGTGCTCGGCACATGGCTATTTTTGGTTTATTTATTTATTTATTTAGTTTTTATTTTTTTTCAAACCAAATTGGTAGGGCAGTTTCAATAATTAGCACATTGCATACATTCTTCCTAGTGGTTATTTGCTATACAAGATGTAGATATGATATCCTATTTACAAACACTATTAGAACAAATCCCTCTATTCATTAAGAGAATGTAACTATATATCTATCGTAACCATTTTGAATACACAGATACAAAATGGACAT